GTCATGGGGGCAGCTCAAGGGAGGCCTTTGGCTTGTTCTCTGCATGACGGGGCTCTGGGAGGTACTCCATGGGGCTGGCCCGGCTCGGGGACCAGCTTTGCCCAAAGGTGCACAGATGCGGGAAAGCAGCTCCCCTCCCTTTGGGTGCTCTCCTTTGTCGCAGGTGCGATGTCTAGCCTGCCAAGAATCACGTGACTCACCTTGGCCACTTTGGCCATGCAGGCCACACCCACAGCCTAGGAGAACTGGAGGCCCACCTGGCCATGCTGGTGGGGACACAGGCCTGCAGCAGGAAGAGCCTGGGTCCCACTGGGAAGAAGGTCAGCTGGGCCCCGGAGGTGGGGGCTGGTCTTGGGAGAATTCATTCAGCCCTGCTCACAGATGAGCAAGCCACCAGCAGGATGCGGTTGCCATGTGGGGGATGGGCTGGTGGCAAGGGACCAGAGAAGGAGGGAGGGACCCCGAATGGAACCCCTGAAGGGGGGCTCAGAGAAGGAATTGTTGGGGTGAGAGGCCTGTAGGGATGGTTCCAGAGCCGGGAACTTGGCGCACATACAGGGAATGGTGCCACGTCACGGACAGGGGTTGGAAGCCGGGAAGGACGTTCCTGAGAGAGGGCTGAAGGGCAGGCGTGGGCCTGGCTCAGACACAGCCCCTCCGATGACAGAATGACAGGGCCGGCAGGCAGCAGGAAGCCACCGCAGGTCCAAGTTCAGGTTCCAGATTGTTCCTCTGGGAAGGAAGAAAGGGCTGTCCCAGTGGGCTGCTTCTAAAAGCCATGACGTTTGCAGGTGAAACATCTGGAAAGGCACAAGCCATGCTGTTTGCAGTGGCAACCAGGCAGCCAGGTGGGGGTGGAAGATCTTTTTCTTCCTTTCTTTTCTTTGTGTAAAAGAACGTCTGTCTGTATAAGATAAGCAGGATAAACAATCCTGAGGAGAAAACAATGGGACCGATAGTTTCGGTGGGAGACGGGACATGGGAATGGGGGTGTGGGAGAAGTGAAGGAGGGAGCCAACAAACTTAGGGACCAGGGATCAACAAGAAACCTAAACTCGATGGTGAGGAGGGCGTGGAATCCCTGGTGGGGTGTGATGAAGTGCAGTGTAGCAGACAGGAATTACTGAGAGCTAAAGGAAGGTCGAACATGATAGTGGGGTGGGAGGAAAGTAAAAAGAAATAGAGGAAAGAACTAGGAGGCAAAAGCCA